ATTTATTTATAGTTTTTAAGATATTAAAAATTATTTGAACGAGTGTTATTTATTCATAATGCAAATTTATGAATATTCGTTTATTTATTTTTAGCAATATATCTTCTTTGTATTAAGGTAGAAAATAATTCATCATATTCTATATTGGTTTAAACAAATTTGAAAAGTTACGTTTCATGAACGATCTATTAAATTAAGGAAAATACCAGAAACAAAAATCCCCACTGTTTATTTAGTAGCTTTCAATAAAATGTGTAATTTATAAAAGCGTATAATATGTTGTTGAGAACTAATAAATTCAAAATCGCAATCTACGTCTGGTAATCTTAATAAATTGTTGATCAAGAACCTAATATTCTTTAGTAATAATAAATAATTAATGGAATGTTGTGGGATTTAGGATAGAGAGTATAGCCCTCTTACTACGCCTAATGGTCTTCCAAATATACTTACAAAAAATTCGGACAAACTTGATGCAGTTACTCCAAACAGAATTGCAAGAAGCCTTGTAATGGACGAAACGCCCAGAACTCCTACACCATTCAAAAAAGCTTTAGCAGATCTCGAAAAGAAATCAGGTCCTTTGAAAGCTATACCAGACACTCCAACTCGTCTTGAAGATATTACTGAGATTGTAAAGAAAGAACAAGATGGGCTGCACTGTTCCGATGCATCCGACAGTGGCATTATGATAACGGTTAGTATTTTTGATTCTAGAATAATAATTATGTAATTAATTAAACCTACTTTACTTTATGAAATTTCATTACAAAATTACATAGATTAATATACTTTAGCTAGAAACTCGTAAGTGAGAATGACACTTTGGTGTCGAAACACGTTTTATGTTTCTAAACGTTTCTATGTGTAATTTTGGATTTTACAGTAAAAAAACGATGTTGTCTTCGTAAGCAATTAAGTAGATGTTATGCAATGACATCAAATACAGTGCAGTATATAAAGGAATAGATCTAAACAATAACGTAACAGTTAAGTTTTTTGTCACCATCAGTTTAGTCATGTTATCGTTTGAATGCTGACACAAATTAAAACAGATGTTTTAAATAAATGTTAATACAACTGAATATAACACAATTCATTATGCAAATAGTAATTGCATTAATTCTCTGATAATGTTCAGATTGTTAGGCGCTTATTTAAGTAGTAAAGTAAGTAAAAAAACAATTTTTTGATTTTTCAGAGCGATAGTAATTATCACAGTAAAAGAAAAAATGGCCCTATATTAGCAGCGGGAAAAGAAAACATACTTCCAAACAAACGAGTACGTAAAGCTTTGGCTTGGAGTTCAACTACCACTCAAATAAATTCCTCGGATATCTCCTTCGCTGTAGAAACCCCTGTAAGTTCTTGTATTGGCAACAAAAAATAATCAATTCGAACTTCAAAGACAAATAAAAATTAACATTACTTCAATATTTCAGAGTAAATCGTTGGGTGAAGATAGCTTGTTTTCGACGCCCTCGTCAATAATGAAAGAAACTCTGGGTGTTGCTGGTTTGCTGGAGTTGACTCACAGTGCTTCAACTAAGGTACAAGAGTGGTATCATTTCGGCGAACGTATATTACCTCCTTAATGTGTCCTATCCGACTCTTTTTAACCTGACTCCTTCGCAAGGTTTACTTGTATTTTTTATTTTATTTGCATTTGTTTTGCACCGAAATTTATATAATGATTTGTTACATTATTTTTTTAGTTTTCTATGTTATTTTGCGGTTTTTGTTTTAAAGTTAGTTTGTTCATGTTATAACTTTTATATTGTGTTTGTACATAAGTAGTTCATTTCAGGTAACACACAGAAGTTTCTTATTTCGTTTTCTGTACTTATCTTTTCTAGTCTGTTTATCTGAGTTTAGCATGGTAACCAAAGTTTCCCCCCTTCCATTCAACAATTCGATTCCTTAAATGCTTTACTTAATTATCCTTTAAATGAGTCATTACAATACTACTACAGTTAGTTTTTTCTCTTATCAAATGCAAGCAGTGCCAAGTATTTATTAATTGTTTTGTACTAAGTCAGAGTGGATGCTATTTTGTGCATTGCTAGCAGCAAGTTGAGAATGAATGAATGTTTATTGCCAAAAACAAAGTGCAGCACCACAGCCAAAAAAGTGTTTGTGATTTGTTTCGTAGATATTAATTGCACAGTTTGATATATGTTTGTATGCTAGTGCTTATATTGCACATTATATATTTTAGGTCACTACATTATATTCGTAGATATAACGTTTGGTGCTCTTTTATAAAAGGGAACAACCTTTCAGAAAATATAGTATTTAATTTTTAATTTGTATTAAATGTTGTATGCATTAACTACGTTTTAAGTTAAAACAAAACCAAGAATCGTGCCTGCAACTAATTATATTTTCTGAGGTTGTTTGAAAGTAGGATTTTATAGGCTAGGCTTGGGATGTAGTGTGTGGGTGTATGTTTGGTGGTATTGTAGCTTTGTATCCTTGTCCCGGCAGCGGCTGCTATCCGTAAGTGCCCCATACCGAGCCCAAGGCCGCCGGACTAATGCAGTCAAGCGCATCACATTTAACGAACCTCATTGGACCGATGTTCCTAAGGTGAGACCCGCCTAGCCTATAATACAGTATTTTCTTATATTAAAGAGCATTTTTTAATTATTGATGAGGCTTTAATTATATCTAGCAAATATGCATCACTAACTCTTAAACGCGTTTTCTGGCTTTTGTGAACTGACTACTAGTATTTAATGATTTTATGCTATTTTTTAACACCTGGATGTATTTGGGGGTTTTAATTGTTTTTAGTTTTTTGAATTAAATGTTAAAATGATAATATAATTCACATATTTTATTTGATATAAAAGCCTTAATAATGGTGATTTAGAACAAGATACTTAGGATAATTTTTTTTTTGAAATTAATTTAATTTCCCGGGTTCGACTCCCAGCGAAGGTGACAGCTGCAACAATTTTTCTTCATTAACATTAAAAATTTCTTAGCGTTTCAGATACTTTGGAGATCACTAAGTATCATTAATTTGAATTGAATTTATTAATTGGAATAACTAGATTAATGTGTACTTAATTCAAATTTATTTTCTAATGAATGCTGGTATTTAAAATAACATAAGAAAATAAGTAATTTTAACAAAACCTAAAAGCCTGGACGAAAAATAATTATTGTTATTTGGTGAAAGTGTACTTTGTACTGTAGATGCTATTTATCGTTCTTGAATGTGAAATTTATTTTGTTTAGCTCGACGTGATGTGGGCAATGGTAGCATGTGGCCGTACACAAGATCAACTTGAAATGACGGAAAAAGCCCATCGGTATCTAAGAAAGTCTAATTTAAAAAGACGTTCGTTGAACTTTTATAATACGTAATTGTATAAATTTTAAATTCGAAGAGCATCAATTATATTAGTTATAGTGCAAAGCTATATTGTGTAAGGATGTTTGATAACGTTATTTAGGTTTCTTTAACTGTAATTGTTTATTAAATACCTAATTTATTTTAAATAGATTTTTTATTTGAAAGTATTTATAATTAGTTGCCATACTTCCGAATTAATGAACCATTGGTACATTTAGTGTATTAAACAGCTAGTCGGTAATATTCTGCAAAGTTTTCTTAACAGAATATGTTGCTAAACAAATTTCAAACCTATAGTTCTCTGTACCTTCATAATGTAGAATTATTCATATTTATTAGGTAATATTTATATTTTGAAACTGTAGTTATCATTGTTTGTAATTCGGAATCACGTTGAATTGTAAATAAATACTGAAACAGTGCACAAAATCTTGTTTTCTTCGAAAATATAATGTTTTGATTTTTTTGTCCCCAAATCTATATAAACTACTAGTTTTTATTTTTTTGATCTAGTAGGGCGATAAATTAAATTACACAAGATATTGTTAATACATTGTTTATTCATTATTACCTTGGACTACATTTTGTCAACAGCTGTTTGGCCTTTTCAGGTCTAACTACAACAATAAACATGTATACACAGATATATCTTATGCATATGAATAATTAAATGCTAGGAATACACAAATTTTATTGCAAAAGAAACATGTCACTATAGCATTGTAATTAGTATGAACTAATGAAATTGAAAATAGTAAATTATATCTTTTTCTTTATATATAAAAATGAATTNAAAGGGACTGTCCCTAGGTCATCTCTTTTTAATTTATCTACATAACTTTTATGACATTTTTTTAATGTAAAATCTTAATATTTCAGTGTTTTGGTTTTGTACATTTGTTGTCGCTTAATTTTAGCTAGGTTTTAAAAACCGCTAAGATTATTGTTTAGAAAAAGGTTTCGATATCTGTGTACATTATTTATGAATAAGCATTACTGTATTCTAACATTTGCTACATTTAATGGGACGTTAAGTCGGAAATTTTAAAACCCAAATGAGTGTTAAACATTTCCATGATAATTTCTAGGTTTGGCGCCTTCTGTTCAAAGACAAACTACTACTGTACCTGTTATATCTAATTTTGCACCAACGAGAGCTACTACACCGCCTATTTTACGACGAGGCCCCAAATCTAGAAAGCGGAGGGACAGCCATAATGATTCATCAGAATATGTGTTGTCAGATGTAACAGCTAATACTAGTTCTAGTAGAAGCGAAGTAAGTTTAGCAGAATCTTACTGACATGCATTTTTCAACGCAAATTATATTTATAGGATATCGATGCAGTTCAATTAATAATAGACGAATCAAGACAATTGATTGAAAGCCCCGCAAAGAATGGTGCTACACCCATAAAACAGCTGCCATTTAGCCCATCGCAATTTCTTAATAGTCCTCATCTACCATTTGATGTAACACTAGCGTCTACGCCTGTTAAAAATAACCATGCTCACAAGAACGCGTTGGAGAAAGTAGGTGTTTATTATTTTATTTTTTTTTTAGTTGGTCTTAAATTAGCCGTTTTTACGGGAAAGGCATGTCTGTTTATACATTTACATTATTATTTTAAAGTTACCTACTGGAATCTGTCAATTAGGCATATGCTACCTGGTGGCAAAACTTGTATTAGAATAAGGGTCAAATTTACATAAGAATAGTGTACGTGTATCGTAAAATAATTTATTAACATTATGAAATGCGTCAAATACAATATTGCCTTAAATTGTACACTTCAAAAAAATGACAGGACTGTTAACAATGCCGATGACGGCTACTGCTTTTAGTGAGTAGTAGAAATCAATGAATAGGCGGAATTTTATCATTGCGAACACCAAGATTATAACCCACGAGATTGTAAACTACCTTTGTCAAAGAACGAAGAATTTGATCACACTATTTTAATGTGGATAATTATATTTTATCAAAAAAGTAGGTATTATACTTAACCTGTAATAACTTTATTCATAAATTGAATAATTATATTTATATACAATATAACTATTTTGAGCGTAGGAACTTACCTGTAGCAATACAATAATGTTGCAATACCACCTACTTGTTATGTTTCCAATTTTATCACCGAAATAATATTGTCACAGCATCTGAAGGTCCGCCTTTGGATTTGGGTTTTCAAATTCTGTTAGTTGTTACTCTTATCTTTAATAACATTTCTTTTTTTTTTGAGGATTTATTATTGACGTATCGTGACAATTCTAATTATTTTATATCGTTTAAAACATAATTTGCCATAGGCACTTTCTCTTTCTACCACTATGTTGTTTGAGCACCCCTCATTTGACAAATTATTATTTCTTTATTAAAAAAACTAAACTGTTTTAATCATAAAAGCTTTTTTGTACATTATGGTAGAAAGAAATAATGTACATTTACAGTGAGAATAAATAACTATAACAACTTATTTTTGCACTGTCACTACTTTTGTTAATATAAACACCGGACTGTAATTCCTATATACCAACCACCGCACCGTGGAAGTTGCTGTGCTAATAATGATTAAGTTGAAAACCGATCGAGTGTTTATATTAATAAAAGTAGCGACAGTAAAGGATACGTTGTTAATTTACTTACCTATTCTCCCTAATATGAAATTAGTGAAAGCCAGACAAGATAAAAAGTTCCTCAAAATTTATTTATTTATAGTTTTTAAGATATTAAAAATTATTTGAACGAGTGTTATTTATTCATAATGCAAATTTATGAATATTCGTTTATTTATTTTTAGCAATATATCTTCTTTGTATTAAGGTAGAAAATAATTCATCATATTCTATATTGGTTTAAACAAATTTGAAAAGTTACGTTTCATGAACGATCTATTAAATTAAGGAAAATACCAGAAACAAAAATCCCCACTGTTTATTTAGTAGCTTTCAATAAAATGTGTAATTTATAAAAGCGTATAATATGTTGTTGAGAACTAATAAATTCAAAATCGCAATCTACGTCTGGTAATCTTAATAAATTGTTGATCAAGAACCTAATATTCTTTAGTAATAATAAATAATTAATGGAATGTTGTGGGATTTAGGATAGAGAGTATAGCCCTCTTACTACGCCTAATGGTCTTCCAAATATACTTACAAAAAATTCGGACAAACTTGATGCAGTTACTCCAAACAGAATTGCAAGAAGCCTTGTAATGGACGAAACGCCCAGAACTCCTACACCATTCAAAAAAGCTTTAGCAGATCTCGAAAAGAAATCAGGTCCTTTGAAAGCTATACCAGACACTCCAACTCGTCTTGAAGATATTACTGAGATTGTAAAGAAAGAACAAGATGGGCTGCACTGTTCTGATGCATCCGACAGTGGCATTATGATAACGGTTAGTATTTTTGATTCTAGAATAATAATTATGTAATTAATTAAACCTACTTTACTTTATGAAATTTCATTACAAAATTACATAGATTAATATACTTTAGCTAGAAACTCGTAAGTGAGAATGACACTTTGGTGTCGAAACACGTTTTATGTTTCTAAACGTTTCTATG